GGAACACGGTCAAACGCCTTCTCCAAATCTACAAAGCACATGTGGACAGGTTGGGCAAACTCCCATGAACCCTCGAGTATCCGATGGAGAGTATAGAGCTGGTCCAGTGTTCCACGACCGGGACGAAAACCACACTGCTCCTCCTGGATCCAAGATTCAACCATCGGGCGTAGCCTCCTCTCCAGTACCTTGGAGTAGACCTTACCGGGGAGGCTGAGGAGTGTGATTCCACGATAATAGGAACACACCCTACGGTCCCCCTTCTTGTAGAGAGGGACCACCACCCCGGTCTGCCACTCCATTGGTACCGCCCCGATCCCCACACGATGTTGCAGAGACGTGTCAGCCAAGACAGTCCTACAACATCCAGAGACTTTAGATAGTCAGGACGGATCTCATCCACTCCCGGCGCCTTGCCGCCAAGGAGGCTCCCAACCACCTTGGTGACCTCTGCCAGGGAGATGGAAGTATCCGCGCCAACATCCTCAGCCTCTGCCTTCGGGGCGGAGAACGTGACGGGGGGATTGAGGAGAACCTCAAAATATTCCTTCCACCGCCCGACAATATCCCCAGTCGAGGTCAGCAGCTCTCCACCCGCACCATACACGGTGTTGGCAAAGAACTCTTTCCCCCTCCCGAGGCACCGGACGGTTTGCCAGAATCTCTTTGAGGCCGACCGATAGTCATGCTCCATGGACTCTCCGAACTCCTCCCAGTCCCGGGTTTTTGCCTCTGCAACAGCCCGGGCCGCGGCACGTTTGGCCTGCCGGTACTGGACAGCTGCCTCAGGAGTCCCACGAACCATCGTGGCTCGATAGGACTCCTTCTTCAGCCTGACGGCATCCCTTACTGCCGGTGTCCACCACCGGGTTCGGGGGTTGCCGCCGGGACCAGCACTAGAGACCTTGCGACCACAGCTACGGGCCGCCGCATCGCCGATAGAGGAAAAGAACATGGTCCACTCAGACTCGATATCCCCCTCCTCCGCCGGGACCTGGGAGAAGCTCAGACGGACTTTCAACTCACACCTCCGGGTGTAAACAAAGATCTTCCTATATTATAATAGATCCATGGCTTTCCCCCGCGGGTGCCAAGTGGGGACCCGGGTTTGGCGAGCCGCTAGGTGGAGACTGCAGTCCGGTCCCGGGAGAGGAAAATGGGGCAAGACCCAACCTCGGGGAGGACAGCGGGGTCCAGCAAACAGTAGCCGTTTTTACTCCTACTTTTTAACCAGATTTTTAATGCTGAACTTTTGTACATTTTATAAAATTGTATCCCCTTTTTTTATTGGTTTCATTGGTCGCACCCACACCAAGTCTCTCAGATACCCTTTTTTAACCTGTAACATTAATATTAAAATTAATATTTTAAAAGCTATATATAAGATGTGTTTTATTTATCTCACAGAGGAGAAATGTACATGTCACATTTGGCATGGATAGAGACACTCAGATTCTGCAAAGGAGGAAATGTGCAACATGTTACATGCAGGATATATATATGTACTATATAGGAGATATATATGTACAACAAAAGTGACAATAATTATGTGCAACAAAAGTGACAAGTGTCAATTGGAAACAGTGTCAATAGTAGTGCAGGTTTTCACACAGTGATCATTTAAAGTGACTTATTGTACAGTCTGACAGCAGTGGGGATAAAGGCCCTGCGGTAGCGCTCCTTCCTACACTGAGGGTGTCTCAGTCTTCCACTGAAGGAGCTCCTCAGCTCCTCTACAGTCCTGTGCAGTGAGAGGTGTTGTTCATGATGGAGGTGGCTTTGGCTAGCACCTCCTGTCCCTCACCTCCTCCACAGAGTCCAGGGGCCTCCTGTCCCTCACCTCCTCCACAGAGTCCAGGGGCCTCCTGTCCCTCACCTCCTCCACAGAGTCCAGGGGCCTCCTGTCCCTCACCTCCTCCACAGAGTCCAGGGGCCTCCTGTCCCTCACCTCCTCCACAGAGTCCAGGGGCCTCCTGTCCCTCACCTCCTCCACAGAGTCCAGGGGCCTCCTGTCCCTCACCTCCTCCACAGAGTCCAGGGGCCTCCTGTCCCTCACCTCCTCCACAGAGTCCAGGGGCCTCCTGTCCCTCACCTCCTCCACAGAGTCCAGGGGCCTCCTGTCCCTCACCTCCTCCTGACCAGCTTGTTCAGTCTGTTTCTGTCCCGCTCTGTGCTGCCCGGGGCCCAGCACACGGCAGCGTAGTAAATGGCAGAAGCTACCACAGAGTCATAAAAAGTCCTGAGCAGAGGCCTGCTCACTCCGAAGGACCTCAGCCTCCTCCGAAGGACCTCAGCCTCCTCCGAAGGACCTCAGCCTCCTCAGAAGGACCTCAGCCTCCTCAGAAGGACCTCAGCCTCCTCAGAAGGAAGAGGCGACTTTGGCCCTTCTTGTGCAGGGCGTTTGTCTTATGGGACCAGTCCAGTTTATTGTTAATGAATTAATGTATAACGATTTATATCTATATATTACTTAATATATTACTTTAAAGCCAAACGGTTTGTTCATTTCAAATGAACCGGAGCATGCTGTTGTCAGCTGACTTCACTTAGAGAGAAGTAAAGAGCCAGATAGAGAAGCATTACAGACACTGGACAGCCCAGACAAAGGAAGGACTTGTCTCTCTGGTCTCTTTCTGGTCTCTCTCTCTGGTCTCTCTCTGGTCTCTTTCTGGTCTCTCTCTCTGGTCCCTCTCTGGTTTCTATCTGTTCTCTCTGGTCTGTCTCTGTTGTCTCTATGGTCTCTATGGTGTCTTTCTTTCTGGTCTTTGTCTCTAGTCTCTCTCTGGTTAGAAAAGCAGAAATATTGCCACACATCAACTTTACAAGTTTTTCTAAATATAAAATTGAGTCACTGAATACTGAATCACTTTTAAATCACGTGAATGATGAGTCTTTTGTTCATTTTTAAACATTTTAAATACAGTTTTACTATTTAATAAGTTGGATTTTCAGTAACATATTACAATAGTATAAGAAATACAACGGTTCTTATAACCTGTACACAATCACAGTCCATTCCATTAATATTCATATTTGCGTTGATAATAATAATAATAATAATAATAATAATATTATAATAATCTTTATTTGTATAGCACTTTTAAAAACCATGTTTACAAAGCGCTGTACAGTCAGCATGATAAACAGTAAAACAGTCATAATGCAAAGTCAAAATAATTAGATACAATAATTATTTTGATTATATGTTATTTATATTCTTTAGACACAAAGCCCCACGAGGTCTGCGTGGTCCAATCAGAGTGTAGGGGGGCGTGTCCGTGCTTATGTTACTCTTGTGAACCATAATAAACAGAACACGCTCAGGGCTGATAACTACTGGATAATACTTCGCTATTTTCTTCTGTGTAAAAGGTAAGAACACGTACACAAACTATATCTATACTGCACTCAGTCACGCTCCCGGTATGTCCTCCTCATGGCCTACACCCGTGTCGCCTTCAGAATGTACAACTCACAGGCTTGGAGCAAAACATTGGATCATTTGAGGTTTTTACAACGATCTGTGGAAATGACTCGCGTTGAAGGAGTTTTGCTGCTGAATCCAGGCCCCAAACGCATGGCCAGACAGTGTGCGCCAAACGTGCAGTGTTTGCATCTTTGCAGAGTACGCGATGTACCATTGGGTTCAGAATGGCGTCTGTGAGGTAACGTGTTCTCTGTGGCACCTCTTATCACCGCTGACACTGCTGCCACACGTTCTGCTTCAGAAAAGTTACTGCTGATGATGGAATTATTCGTAACTGTGTACTGTGCTTAAAGCTGGGGTCATTAACTTTCACACCGCCACAGGTGCAATGTCGCCCGATCTACTCTACTCTACTCTACTCTACTCTACTCTACTCTACCCTACTCTACTCTACTCTACTCTACTCTACTCTACTCTACTCTACTATACCCTACTCTACTCTACTCTACTCTACTCTACTCTACTCTACTCTACTCTACTCTACTCTACTCTACTCTACTCTACTCTACTATACCCTACTCTACTCTACTCTACTCTACTCTACTCTACTATACCCTACTCTACTCTACTCTACTCTACTCTACTCTACTCTACTATACCCTACTCTACTATACTCTACTCTACTCTACTCTACCCTACTCTACTCTACTCTACTCTACTCTACTCTACTCTACTCTACTCTACTCTACTCTACTATACCCTACTCTACTCTACTCTACTCTACTCTACTCTACTCTACTCTACCCTACCCTACCCTACCCTACCCTACCCTACCCTACTCTACTCTACTCTACTCTACTCTACTCTACTCTACTCTACCCTTCTCTATGTGCTTGTCTTTTCATTACGCTACAGTAAAGTAAAGTAGTAGTTTCCCCACAACAAACCAGTACCCGAGAAATGTCCTTGGTATGGCTTCCAGCCGCACTCTGCCATTCAGTAGAGTAGAGTAGAGTAGAGTAGAGTAGAGTAGAGTAGAGTAGAGTAGAGTAGAGTAGAGTAGAGTAGAGTAGAGTAGAGTAGAGTAGAGTAGAGTAGAGTAGAGTAGATCGGTTCAACAAATAGCGTGGTGTTAGACGATGTTCAACAAATGTATTTTTAGTTTGGACATATTTATTTACAGGCTTGGTGTATTTCTTGTTGCTATTTCTTCATTCCTGAATTAATGATTAAAAAATGGTTTGTTTTGTCTGAAGAAATGCTCTGAGAGGATTGATTTTGCCACTCAAGAGCTCTTAGTGTCAAAATGCCTCATTTACCATTAATTAAAACTCAGCTTTTTGGTTTATTTATAGACCTGATCCATTTCCCTGTTTCATCATTCCTGGATGGCTGAGAAAATAGAAATGAAACGGTCAAAGAGGATGGCTATTTCACTCCATGTGAAGAGGACTCGAGGATGAATGTCCATATACATCATTTTTAATTGACTGTAAATCCAAAATGACTTCAGCAGTCAGATTGTATGAAGTGTCTCACACCAGCCAGTGGTGAGTTTAGTCTGTAACAACAGTTACTTGTCGTGGTCGGTGCGAGGAGTGAACCTGTCTGTGGTCAGTCTCTGAGCGATGTATGGGACGCTGGCTTTGATGAGGTCCAGGCTGGAGTAGGTGAATAGACCCAGCTCTTTCTGGGAGTATGTTTGGCATAAGTCGTTGTAAATGCTTTTGCCCACATTTTCAATGTGAGTGTTGATTATCTCCAATAACATCTCTGCCAGGACTTTCTTGGGCTTTGTCGTCTGCAGGGCCTGTTTGCAGCACCTCAGAGCCACAAACTTGAGATTCTCTGTGCAGATCTGAGAAACTCTGATCTGAACATGTCTTTGGAGCAATATTGCTAAGTTTCTCAAAAAGAAAAATAGATCTCATAAATAATGGGCCTTGATGGTGAGCCTGTGCTCACCATCAAGGTTAAAGAGGATAAGTGGTACTTTATGGGTTTCATGTTTTGGTCGTCTCTGTATTGTGAAACGGACCGTCAGCTCAGGTATGCCATTTGCACAAGTGCAGCTGAAGACATTAAATCCTCATGTGTCTGGACCAGAGCCCTGACTCACTGCCCTCACAGGGCTCCGTCAGCTCTGGGGGAAACTTTAGTAAGCATGACTCAGCTCCCTCACAATATCTGCGAGTCGGGTTTGTGGAGCTGCAAGCCTGTTTACAGTTGGAGACACGAGTTTTACTAGAAAACATTCATGGTATAATATTGGTCGGGCGTTGTTGGGCGACAGTGGCTCAGTTGGTAGAGCATTGGCCTTTGAGCCTGAAGGTTGTGGGTTCAAGCCCAACACAAGACTTACTTCCTGACTGCTGTTGATGTGTCCTTGGGCAAGACACGTAACCCCACTTTGCATGAAGCCCCTGTTGGAAGATCATGGCTCCTGTGGACTCAGCACCTGCAGGAGGATCAGTGAGGGGCTGGTGCTCTGTGGACTGGGTGCAGCTCTGACTGCCACCCCCCAGACCCAGAAATGGCTCTGTGTGGATGGCTGTGTGTGTGAGTGTAAGCCTCGTGGATGTGTTTTCTGACAGACAGAAGTAGTTGATATGAATGATGATTCCCCCTCACAGTATTAACAGTCTCTTCCTTTTGTGTGTGTCTGTGTAATATAGACCTCAGCATGGGTAAGACCCAGTCCCATATGGGGAAAAACACAGATGAGGGCCGTGAGGCGCTGACAGAGGGGGACAAGGAGAAGACTGAGGACGTGTCTCAGTTCCCTTACGTGGAGTTCACCGGTCGAGACAGTGTGACCTGCCCGACCTGCCAGGGAACAGGTCGCATCCCGCGAGGTGACGCAGCACCCACTTAGTCTGTGGACACATTGTCACACCACAGACGATGGGGAGATTCAGGGTTTACATGAGGTTTAATGTGGAGTAAGAGCGAGACCAGAGAGAGAGCGAGACCAGAAGGAGAGCGAGACCAGAGAGAGAGAGCGAGACCAGAAGGAGAGCGAGACCAGAGAGAGAGAGCGAGACCAGAAGGAGAGCGAGACCAGAGAGAGAGAGCGAGACCAGAAAGAGAGCGAGACCAGAGAGAGAGAGCGAGACCAGAGAGAGAGCGAGACCAGAGAGAGAGAGCGAGACCAGAAGGAGAGCGAGACCAGAGAGAGAGAGCGAGACCAGAGAGAGAGCAAGACCAGAGCGAGAGCGAGACCAGAAGGAGAGCGAGACCAGAGAGAGAGAGCGAGACCATAGAGAGAGAGCGAGACCAGAGAGAGAGCGAGACCAGAGAGAGAGAGCGAGACCATAGAGAGAGAGCGAGACCAGAAGGAGAGCGAGACCAGAGAGAGAGAGCGAGACCAGAAGGAGAGCGAGACCAGAGAGAGAGAGCGAGACCAGAGAGAGAGAGCGAGACCATAGAGAGAGAGCGAGACCATAGAGAGAGAGCGAGACCATAGAGAGAGAGCGAGACCATAGAGAGAGAGCGAGACCAGAGAGAGAGAGCGAGACCAGAGAGAGAGAGCGAGACCAGAGAGAGCGAGACCAGAGAGAGAGAGCGAGACCAGAGAGAGAGAGCGAGACCAGAGAGAGAGAGCGAGGCCAGAGAGAGAGAGCGAGACCAGAGAGAGAGAGCGAGACCAGAGAGAGAGAGCGAGACCAGAGAGAGAGAGCGAGACCAGAGAGAGAGAGCGAGACCAGAGAGAGAGAGCGAGACCAGAGAGAGAGAGCGAGACCAGAGAGAGAGAGCGAGACCAGAGAGAGAGAGCGAGACCAGAGAGAGAGAGCGAGACCATAGAGAGAGAGCGAGACCATAGAGAGAGAGCGAGACCATAGAGAGAGAGCGAGACCAGAGAGAGAGAGCGAGACCAGAGAGAGAGAGCGAGACCAGAGAGAGAGAGCGAGACCAGAGAGAGAGAGCGAGACCAGAGAGAGAGAGCGAGACCAGAGAGAGAGAGCGAGACCAGAGAGAGAGAGCGAGACCAGAGAGAGAGAGCGAGACCAGAGAGAGAGAGCGAGACCAGAGAGAGAGAGCGAGACCAGAGAGAGAGAGCGAGACCAGAGAGAGAGAGCGAGACCATAGAGAGAGAGCGAGACCAGAGAGAGAGAGCGAGACCAGAGAGAGAGAGCGAGACCAGAGAGAGAGAGCGAGACCAGAGAGAGAGAGCGAGACCAGAGAGAGAGAGCGAGACCAGAGAGAGAGAGCGAGACCAGAGAGAGAGAGCGAGACCAGAGAGAGAGAGCGAGACCAGAGAGAGAGAGCGAGACCAGAGAGAGAGAGCGAGACCAGAGAGAGAGAGCGAGACCAGAGAGAGAGAGCGAGACCAGAGAGAGAGAGCGAGACCAGAGAGAGAGAGCGAGACCATAGAGAGAGAGCGAGACCATAGAGAGAGAGCGAGACCAGAGAGAGAGAGCGAGGCCAGAGAGAGAGAGCGAGACCAGAGAGAGAGAGCGAGACCAGAGAGAGAGAGCGAGACCAGAGAGAGAGAGCGAGACCAGAGAGAGAGAGCGAGACCATAGAGAGAGAGCGAGACCATAGAGAGAGAGCGAGACCATAGAGAGAGAGCGAGACCATAGAGAGAGAGCGAGACCATAGAGAGAGAGCGAGACCAGAGAGAGAGAGCGAGACCAGAGAGAGAGAGCGAGACCAGAGAGAGAGAGCGAGACCGAGAGAGAGAGAGCGAGACCAGAGAGAGAGAGCGAGACCAGAGAGAGAGAGCGAGACCAGAGAGAGAGAGCGAGACCAGAGAGAGAGAGCGAGACCAGAGAGAGAGAGAGAGCGAGACCAGAGAGAGAGCGAGAGCGAGACCAGAGAGAGAGCGAGAGCGAGACCAGAGAGAGAGAGCGAGAGCGAGACCAGAGAGAGAGAGAGAGAGCGAGACCAGAGAGAGAGAGAGCGAGAGCGAGACCAGAGAGAGAGAGCGAGAGCGAGACCAGAGAGAGAGAGCGAGAGCGAGACCAGAGAGAGAGAGCGAGAGCGAGACCAGAGAGAGAGAGCGAGAGCGAGACCAGAGAGAGAGAGAGCGAGAGCGAGACCAGAGAGAGAGAGCGAGAGCGAGACCAGAGAGAGAGAGAGAGCGAGACCAGAGAGAGAGAGCGAGACCAGAGAGAGAGAGAGAGAGAGAGAGAGAGAGAGAGAGAGAGAGAGAGAGAGAGAGAGCGAGACCAGAGAGAGAGAGAGAGCGAGACCAGAGAGAGAGAGAGAGAGAGAGACCAGAGAGAGAGAGAGAGAGAGACCAGAGAGAGAGAGAGAGAGAGAGAGCGAGAGAGAGAGAGAGAGAGAGAGCGAGACCAGAGAGAGAGAGAGAGAGAGAGCGAGACCAGAGAGAGAGAGAGAGCGAGACCAGAGAGAGAGAGAGAGCGAGACCAGAGAGAGAGCGAGACCAGAGAGAGGGTAAGATCTCAGCAGGAGCAGACAAAGATCGCAGCTCACTTGTCCCTGTGAGCGAGCAGCATCCTGGACCTGCTGACGGCGCTTACAGAGCGTAGGTCCAGACCACAAATATAAATCAATATTTGCTTTTCTATGGTTGCCTCCTCTGTTTACATTGGTGAGAAGACAAGCTCTTTGAGGAAATAAAATTGTACTTCTGTTTTCAATCTTCACAAACCAAACCAAGACGACCTGATGTGTGTGCAGGTCAGGAGAACCAGCTGGTGGCCCTGATCCCGTACAGTGACCAGCGCCTTAGGCCGAGCCGCACGTAAGGCCTGCACCCGTCATGATCTCATAAATAAATAAAAAACTAGAGTTTCACAATATCCTGGTCACTATGGTAACTGTCAAAAGTCAAATTCTTATCTTTGTTCCAGGAATTACAGAGAAATTATCCCTAAACCATCCACATGAAACGAACACTGACAAAGTTAAACATAACCTTTGCCAGCACAAATCAACTATGGTCTCCCTTGTCTCTCTCTCTCTGGTCTCTGTCTCTGGTCTCTCTCTCTGGTCTCTCTCTCTGGTCTCTCTCTCTGGTCTCTCTCTCTGGTCTCTGTCTCTGGTCTCTGGTCTCTCTCTCTGGTCTCTGTCTCTGGTCTCTGTCTCTGGTCTCTGTCTCTGGTCTCTGTCTCTGGTCTCTCTCTCTGGTCTCTGTCTCTGGTCTCTGTCTCTGGTCTCTGTCTCTGGTCTCTCTCTCTGGTCTCTGTCTCTGGTCTCTGGTCTCTGTCTCTGGTCTCTGTCTCTGGTCTTCCTCTCTCTCTTTGGTCTCTCCCTAGTCTTTTTCTCTCTGGTCTCTCTCACGTAATGTTGACCAGTAGAAAGGCCTTTCAGAAATAGGAACAATATGGAGGCTTTGTGAGTCTAATCTCAACATTTCTTTCAAAAATGACTTCCTTCCCATAGAGTTGTATTTGCTCCTGGTGCAATACTGAAACACAATCCTACACCATGAAGCTGCCTGGCCCCTGACCGCTCTTGTGTCCGCAGAAAGCTGTATGTGACTCTGTCCGTGGCCCTGTGCCTGCTGCTGTCCGGCCTGGCCGTCTTCTTCCTCTTCCCTCGTCCCATCGATGTGTCCTACGTTGGGGTCAAGTCTGTGTATGTGGCGTACGACGTGGACAAGCGCATTGTCTATCTCAACATCACAGTAAGACATGACCCTGACCCTTGAGCCTTATGGACCTATACATTAGTCTTAACTGTTGATTCTCTGATCTGTGTTGGTGATTTCAATGAAGCCCTAAATCACAACAGTAGTCATCTCAGAGGACTTAACAAAATTAAGTTCTCTGAGATGACTGCTGTTGTGATCTAGGGCTTCACAAGAATAAATTGAATTGTATTGAGCCCGACCCTGACATCTAAGCTAGACCTTAACCCTGACCTAGACCCCTGAATCTGTCCCTGTCCTAACTTTATAGATATTGCTTAAAGCGCGAGTGGTTGTTGAAAATGCTTTCGACAGTCTTAAAGGAATGACTCGGACACTGAACATGTGAAGTCAATGGTGCTAACCTGCTGTGCTCTGGACAATCTGTGCGGAAACCACGGAGAGACCTGTGACAGAATGGGACACACCTGTAGCAACAGCAGCTGTGTAGAGGAGGGTCTGATGCGTCACTCTGTCAGATGCCTAAACATTTATTTTGCCCTTGTTTTGACCAAAAATACAACCTATTTGTATTTAGCAAATATCTCCAATCTTGTTTATAAATTTACCAAAGTTATACGGATTTACTGACATGTAAATAGAAGTAAAAGTATATGCTAGGATATTGTAACTTTTGCTTTTGAACCCCTTTTTCTGCCTGTGTAGACAGACAAATGAATCAAACAAAGTCTTGATACAATCACAGATTTATTAAAAACAAAAGAATAGTGCAAAACCAACATTTTACAAATTCCAAAGTATGTCCGTCTCTTGAGATGAAGGGAAGTTAAGTACTCGGGCCACTCATTTATAACCAGTTATTTCCAGGATTAACACAGACTAGTCACAAATCAAGACTTGGGCGATCTCCCTGAAAACCTCCTCGTTTCGTGTTGAGCCGTCAAGCTGCCTTTTGATTTCTTTCTTCAGCCTGAAGAGAGTAACTTGTGGACCTCGTCAACCGACCAGGACGTTGACTTTTGGGGCTTTCTGTGCGATTCCATTTCTCTGGAGTGAGGACGACGTATTATAGCAGAGCAGCTGGTTTTAAAGATGGCGGGGTGACGACACTCGTTGACCAATCAGTGTAAGGCAGTTGGCTGACGTCACGTTATGGTGTAGCTTCGGCACACATGGAACCACTGTCGAGGTGGTACGAATAAAGTTCCCTGATTCAAGCCCAACCCTAGTGGAAATGGCAAAATAACCGCGCCGAGCCGTACCATACTGTACCGTGGAAAAGCGGCATTACGCTATGGTGATGTCAAACACTCAGTCCATTCTTAGGCCATGTCTATACGTAGTAAACATTTATAGAATGTTTCTATAACTCATATCCGAACATCTGCGTTTTCAATCACATTCTTAACATTCCAAACATGTGCGTGCTCTGCCGCTGGTACTTCTGTAGCGGCACTTTTACAGTCATAGAAGAAACTCAGGGTAAAGACATAAAGACTGACCCCTGTCCTCAGCCCTGGTTTAATCCTGGTTTAACTCCTGTTCTTGTTGTTCTTGAGCGTGAGTCCCCGTGATCGCTTTGCTGCTCTCTGATGTTCGCTGCTTTGAACCGCTCGCAGCAGCGAACAGTTTTTAAGGCAGTAAGATCCATGCTTCTTCAGTGATCAGAGGTCACATGTTTTGTTTGTTGTTGTTTTGGGAGCACACTGTGACGTGCGAAAACGCAAAACTCTGGTTATTTCTGTCTACACGCAAATGCGTGAGTTTTCAAAAATCTCCACTTTGCCCAGAGTTTTTTTTTATACTTGTTTATGGTGCGTTGTCATGTGGATGACAGGTGCAAACGAAGAAATTAGCAGTTTAGCATATTCCCGCCTACGTGTGGACGGGGCCTTAATATCCACTCTTATACGCTTCCTGAAGACTGAAGACCAACATACTGACACACACACGTCGCCATACGTTACATTAAACCTCTTGTCCAGGGGGTTCTCAACCTTTTCTAAAGATACACTTTTGACCTTTTATGCTACAGTGATTAAAAGTTGACCCTTTTGGGGTCAACTTTATGAAAAATCATCAAACATCAGCTTGAAAAAAAACATTTTAGGGTATTTTTTCAATCACTGTGGTGGGTTAATTAGCATAAGGGTTCTTCTATATTTTTTATTTTCAATCGTCATATTTGGAGTCTCTGTAATTGGTGAATATGGAGAAAAGCTTTTTACACCTCCTACCCAGAATGTGTCTTATGAATGAGTCCTCCCCCCTTCTTTGAGAACCTAAGTCTAATGACATCCTTTATATCGTGCCTTCAAATACATCTTGTTTTTCCTCAAAAAGTAATTAAAATAACAAAAACAGTGGTTCTCAAACACTGGGCACAATCCTGTCTTCTGACCCATTTCTCCACATTCCTCCCAAGTTAATTCTATTTAGTTTTAAATAAATCAAATCAAAGCTCGGAGTCACGTCACTCAAACCAAAGCAGGAACTGTACAAATCCAGTATGACTGACCAGACCGGTCTACACCGGTCTACACCGGTCTACACTGGTCTACACTGGTCTACACTGGTCTACACTGGTCTACACTGGTCTACACTGGTCTACACTGGTCTACACTGGTCTACACTGGTCTACACCGGTCTACACTGGTCTACACTGGTCTACACTGGTCTACACCGGTCTACACCGGTCTACACTGGTCTACACTGGTCTACACTGGTCTACACTGGTCTACACTGGTCTACACTGGTCTACACTGGTCTACACTGGTCTACACAGACATTGTAGACCGGTCTGGTCAGCACAAACTTACTGTACATACTAAAGAAATAGTATAGAATACAAATATGTGGTATATGATGCCTATATGAGTGCCTGAGTGAGATTAAGAGATCCTTTATTCGTCCCACAGTGGGGAAATTTCAGTGTTGTAGCACAAGTTATAGAACAGTAGCAAAGAGGAGCACACAGCACAAGTTAAGTGAACAATAGCTATAGTAATTGAAATAAAACAAAATCTCCAACTCTAGCATCAATAACAAGTATAAAAACTAAATCTTGAAATAATAATAAAAAGAAATGTATGTTTGTAAGTTTCACATTTGGTAAGATAAGAGGCAAGTATAAAGTACTGTGTATTCTAGTGCAAGCAAAGTGTAGTTATATGTTAGCACCTGTGCATGTTAGCAGCAGTATGTTTACATCTGTACATTAGCAGCAGTATGTTTACATCTGTACATTAGCAGCAGTATGTTTACATCTGTACATCAGCAGCAGTATGTTTACATCTGTACATTAGCAGCAGTATGTTTACATCTGTACATTAGCAGCAGTATGTTTACATCTGTACATTAGCAGCAGTATGTTTACATCTGTACATTAGCAGCAGTATGTTTACATCTGTACATTAGCAGCAGTATGTTTACACCTGTACATTAGCAGCAGTATGTTTACACCTGTACATTAGCAGCAGTATGTTTACATCTGTACATTAGCAGCAGTATGTTTACATCTGTACATTAGCAGCAGTATGTTTACATCTGTACATGTTAGCAGCAGTATGTTTACACCTGTACATTAGCAGCAGTATGTTTACATCTGTACATTAGCAGCAGTATGTTTACACCTGTACATTAGCAGCAGTATGTTTACACCTGTACATTAGCAGCAGTATGTTAGCATCTGTACATTAGCAGCAGTATGTTTAGCATCTGTACATTAGCAGCAGTATGTTTACATCTGTACATTAGCAGCAGTATGTTTACATCTGTACATTAGCAGCAGTATGTTTACATCTGTACATTAGCAGCAGTATGTTTACATCTGTACATTAGCAGCAGTATGTTTACATCTGTACATGTTAGCAGCAGTATGTTTACACCTGTACATTAGCAGCAGTATGTTTACATCTGTACATTAGCAGCAGTATGTTTACACCTGTACATTAGCAGCAGTATGTTTACACCTGTACATTAGCAGCAGTATGTTAGCATCTGTACATTAGCAGCAGTATGTTTACATCTGTACATTAGCAGCAGTATGTTTACATCTGTACATTAGCAGCAGTATGTTTACATCTGTACATGTTAGCAGCAGTATGTTTACACCTGTACATTAGCAGCAGTGTGTTTACATCTGTACATTAGCAGCAGTATGTTTACATCTGTACATTAGCAGCAGTATGTTTACATCTGTACATTAGCAGCAGTATGTTAGCATCTGTACATTAGCAGCAGTATGTTTACATCTGTACATGTTAGCAGCAGTATGTTAGCATCTGTACATGTTAGCAGCAGTATGTTAGCATCTGTACATGTTAGCAGCAGTATGTTTACATCTGTACATGTTAGCAGCAGTATGTTTACATCTGTACATTAGCAGCTGTATGTTTACATCTGTACATTAGCAGCAGTATGTTTACATCTGTACATTAGCAGCTGTATGTTTACATCTGTACATGTTAGCAGCTGTATGTTTACATCTGTACATTAGCAGCTGTATGTTTACATCTGTACATGTTAGCAGCAGTATGTTTACACCTGTACATTAGCAGCAGTATGTTTACATCTGTACATTAGCAGCAGTATGTTTACATCTGTACATGTTAGCAGCAGTATGTTAGCATCTGTACATGTTAGCAGCAGTATGTTTACATCTGTACATTAGCAGCAGTATGTTTACATCTGTACATTAGCAGCAGTATGTTAGCATCTGTACATTAGCAGCAGTATGTTAGCATCTGTACATGTTAGCAGCAGTATGTTTACATCTGTACATTAGCAGCAGTATGTTTACATCTGTACATTAGCAGCAGTATGTTTACATCTGTACATTAGCAGCAGTATGTTAGCACCTGTACATGTTAGCAGCAGTATGTTTACATCTGTACATTAGCAGCAGTATGTTAGCATCTGTACATGTTAGCAGCAGTATGTTTACATCTGTACATTAGCAGCAGTATGTTTACATCTGTACATTAGCAGCAGTATGTTTACATCTGTACATTAGCAGCAGTATGAATGAATGAATG